CGGAGGGGAGGGGGGGGGGGGGTCGTACAGGCTCGACTAAAATCCCCAACCAATGATGTGCCCTGCCACAGTCTTTTCGCAGCGGATGATGGGGCGTGCACGGCCGCAACCTGCTTTCCATCATTTATGGGAGCTGGCAAGAGGCTACTTTTTTTGGAAAACCAGTTGACGCAGCGCCAAACCCGCCCCCTAACACGCCTCGCTATTCGCAGCGAACAAGACTGTACATATGTAAATGGCGCGCAAAAAACGTGGATTCCACCACCCCCGCCCCATCCCTCCCCCCCTCTCCAGACCAAGTATTCATTCCCGCAGAGATGCCCCATGCATTCCGTTTCTGATCGAAATTTAATAAAGTTCGAAAAGACGCAAAACTGCTGGAACGGTTTACTCACGTCAGCTGATGCTTGGGTTGGCATATCTGTCTTCTACACGTCTGGCAGCATTGCACTGAGAGCCATGGTTGGGAAAGATGGCAACGTCTGCAAATCTGAGTACAGTCCAGCTCAGGGTGGGGGCATTAGTAGTTAATTTCTGTAGGTTAATTTTACGGGGACCTCTGAACTCTTGCTGGGCTATGTGGAGCTACGAAATAGTAAAACTTCTTTCCCGAGTCATTTCCTTTTGTTTTTCCTTCTACTAGACGGCAATCAGTACTGGAAGGTCCGAAAGAAAAGTGTGCCAGATATATGTACATTTCGGTCTCAGCCTAGAAGACTCCGAAATTCATAATGTGGTTTGGAAACGAAGCTCGCAACACTTCGTGGCTCTACATACCTTCTCCTCCTCTTCAAGCCGATGAACGCCGTGTGTGGCATAACAATACAATTCATTGGTATTCAAGCTTGGGTGCAGTTTCGCCAGGAGTGGGGGGGGAGACGCTGTTTCCCAATGTCGTGTCCAGCTATCAAGGAGAGACATGAGGTAGTGCTAGTAAAAGTTTGTAGATACTTGTTAACTCTGGTAAAAATTTCCTATCGTTCTTCTAAAACAATGAACACAACAATTCGGAACAAGAGTGCGAACCCGCCACTCCCCCCTTCCCGCCCCTAGCCGAACAGGCGCCAGCCTCCCCGTTCTCGTACTGCTATTGTTACTTGCTTTTCAGATCACTTAATCAGAAGTAGAAGCTTTTCTTGCCCCAACCGAATGGCAGCTTGCTTCCTTATCGGTTCGCAGCCAGGATAGTTAAATTGAAATGTAGAAATTTCAACTCAATTAACTGGACGAATGTTTAGTCATGAATGACGTGAGATAAGCATTCACTTTTCTACTTCCCCGTACTTGAAAGTTCGCCCCGCGCTGATTAAATGTTTAGCGCCATGGGCAAGGTCCTGCTGGCAAGCACATAAGATGGACGACTTCTGCAGCCTCAAAACACGTGAGAAGTCGCAACCCGCTTGCGCGAAGGGGACGCCCTGCCCACCGCCCAATTTCTGAGGGTTTCGTGAAGATGAGGTCGTCCTGCTACTGGCTCCCTCCACGTAGAACGGTGGGCGTGAGGCAATTAGAGGGAAGAGCTGACACTTAGGAGTGGAAACTAGTCCGACCACGACCATCTTCGCTTTGTGCACGTACAGGATCTGTTTGGTATGGGGCATTTTTCCAGCTTTTTTCTTCACTACTGAGCCACTTACCACTTTGTCATTAGTATTTGAGCGGCACAGCTCACAACTATTAACACCGGATGACAATTTAACCCATGACCGACGTTATACTTTTTCTGTCTTCTGTTACAAGTAACCAATCGGCTCGGGAGCGCTCTGGAGCCGAATTATGAATTTCTTTAACGAGACCGCTAACTTTCACGCATGCCCCGCCCATCGTGGGCCGGGCTTACCATGGGTTACGATTGCTCTTTACATCTTGTCATATGCCCTACCCAACCAGACTTTGACCCCACCTCTCCAAGTGTGTTCTTCTGGTAGAACTGAATTTGGACAAACAAACAAACAAACAAACAAGACGAAGCTAGTTATATATAAAGGATAAAGGATAAAGTCTTCGCCGTTGATCAATCCCTTTGTGGGATGCGGCACGCATTCTACTTCCATTCAGAATCGTAGTGGCTTATTGAATGCGATGTGGCCTATACAATGACTTGCGGTGGCCAGCCGATGCAAGTCAGTGTTTTATCCTCCCAGACGAATCTGGTACCAATTTACCGTCCCCGGAGGGTAGAAGGCTTGGTTGGCCTGGGCGGGTGTCGACCCGGCGCCGCGCGAGTGGTAAGCGCGCCACTTGTCACTACACCACCTCCGCCCCAAATTATATATAGTGGGTGATTAATATATCCTGTCCAATTGGCGGAGGTGGTGTAGTGACAAGTGGCGCGCTCACCACTCGCGCGGCCTGGGTTCGAATACCGGTCGACTCCCGCCTAGGCCAACCAAGCCTTCTACCCTCCGAACGAAACTGGTGCTGGATTTGGCTGGGAGCATAACAACACTGATTGTACATCGGCTGGCCCCCGCAAGTCATTGTATAGGCCACATCGCATTCAATAAGCCACTACGATTCTGAATGGAAGTAGAATGCGTGCCGCATCCCACAAAGGGATTGATCATGGCGAAGACTTCATCCTTTACCCTGTTCAATTCTAAAGACTTGTTTTCTTAGATTTGAAGAACAAAGAGTTGCTCTGGAAATCAACCATCTGTGTTCTGGCGGCCGCTAAGGGTAGATCATCATTTGGATTAATGTCACCTTTACTGTCAACTTCAGTGTGTAAAAAAAACCACCAAAATATGTCTATCGTGATAAATGTAGTTAAGAGCGAAGGAGTGCAAAGCGAAAATAAGTTTATTAGCTTGGACCCGAAAAAGCTGTGAAATCTAAAACAGCATGTATTGAGCCTTAATACTACAGATCTAACAACTTCTTACAAGACTAAAAAATATTTCAACGTTGTGTTTACGTCACATGCGAGTCACTATCCCAGTACACCTTCCCACAGGAACCACATATGAAGAAAACGTTCCCTGGCCGAGATACAACCTGTTCGGGTACCTAAATGAGGGAGTATAAGTGACAAAGCAACAGTTCCGATATAAGTATAGAGTACAAGGAAAAAATTCCATGAGGAGCGAGCAACACGCAGAGATGGTTCCACTTACCCGTCGAACAATGACATCAACTCCTTCTTCGAGATGATCATGGGTCACGATGTTGGCTCTGGAAACAGTACAAGAAACTACACAATCTGATGACGCCCAGAAGAGTTTCCTAGAATTTGATCCGAACGACATGGCTCTAACCCCAGTTTTATGAGTGAATGCAAATACTGGTGAGTAGCGCGATACAATGTTCATCCCTAGAGCAACAATTACCCGTCTAGGCTATCCCGGCGTAGCCCTATCAGAGCTCTTGAATGGATATTAGAAAGATAGCGTGCAGCCGGGTGCTTAGTAATGAGCCCCTCTCATAACATAGCAATGAACACGCAGCTCGAGACGCACGCTTAGTGGGAGGACATGCGATGAGACTACGCCGAGATTTTTTCTGTCATCTAGCGCTTTTCTAAGGCTGAGCCTAGTGGCGGAGGGTGTCACCATCCCAGTGAGGCGCAGATGAGCAGCCTGAGTCCGCGCCACTGCGTGAACCCTTCTTAACTAAGTTAGCCCCCCCCCCTTTGATTCCAGTGGTGCACAGCACATAAGTTCCTTGCAAAATGCCGCCAAATATCAGAATCTCGATTTATTTGGAGGGAAATGATAAGAATAAAGAAAGTAAAGAGAACATACATAATGTCAACAGTTCCTCCATGGCATTCCACAACCATGTACTTCTTTTTGCACAATACTAATCGACAGCCGACACCAGAATATTCACGTGGATCAACGGAACCCAGTCGCTCAGACCATCCTGGAATTGACAGCCGCCTGCACGCTACCTGACCTTTCACACCACGGATGGAGCGACACAAC